CTTTTCCCTCGAAAATTATAAAAGTTCAAACGTATCTGAAAACATTGAAAAAATTTTTTCGCAATTGGACCGGCCATCATTTTCTCTTTACAAGGGTACTTTTCAAAACTTGTACAATTTTTTTTCCATTATTTCGTTGAACGTTGATAGTCGGGGTTGATCGGCTAAAAATTCAAAAAATCCTAACATTTGGGTAAAATGGAGAAAAGAAAAAAAAATCGTACAGCGAGCTCTAAGGGATCATTGTGAAATTTCAATATTGGATTTAGTCATGGAAAAAAATTTTTAATATTTTTATACATGCTTGAATTACTACCGAGAGAAAAATATGGTCACTTTCGCATGAGAAAGTCAAAATAATATTTGGAAAGAACAAGCTTGCGTACTGGCTTCCAAATGAGTGGATCACTTTTCACGAAGTTAAATCAATTAAATTATCGATAATTTTTCAGTGTCACTGATACGGTTATCCCCTTCACTGTACGCACCTAACCATCAAATAATTACCAATCGAATTAAAAGCTCGTCGTCCAATATCCTTAAAGTACTGTCATTCGGAAATTTCAAATAAATTCTTTTCGCTAGTCCGTCTTACGTGCAAGAAGGTGGAAGCACACCGTACCGGAAAGTATCCTTCCCTCGGCCATCAAAGAGATATCAATTTCGGATTAAGACTTCCCCCCTCCCCCCTCGCCCGATATCGAGAATTCGATAACCAGCAGGCCGGTGAAATTTTCCTACGCTGCCTACTGCTACTTATTTCCCCGTGGCCGTTGGCCACGCGGGCTTATTAGTTAATGGAAAAGATGAACGCGGAAAAGGAAGGACTGCCGCTCTCGCTGGAAATATGATTAAGCCTTTTTCACGCGGTCTGCGGAGAGAACGGTGTCGTGGCCCTCTCTCTGGCACGATCTTTGCCGCTCGTCCCGAGACTCGAACAGACTGATCTAATTACGTCGAGTGAAATGGAGTCAGAATGCTGAAAGGAAGCGTGGCCTGGCTAGACAGCGTGCACGCTTAAAGCACGACAATGGCTGGCCAAAGGGATGATTGCGTTATGGAGGGCGAAAATTTTCGGACGCCGGACGGTTGTGTTTACCATTTCTTTCCCGAACTCGCAGGGAACTCTGAAATTGGGAATTGGGGATGGTTTGGCATTTAAAACGGGGACAGACCGGTTAAAATGTTCGTAAGGTGCATAATTCGATCAGCTCGGTGCACTTTGAACGAGAGAGTCTCCTCTGCGACACGGTTTAATGGCGCAATCGGTGCCCTGCTTTGACGTTGCTCTTCGCGTGTCTCGAGTCTCAAAGTAAATCTTGAATAAGATCTGCATCTTGCCTCTTGCTGAGACCCCGTTCGACGCAGATAGATTTCTACCAGAAATCACGAGAAATCTTACGAACGTTTGCGCGAAATTCGATTTCTTTGCATCCAGCTGCAATGTTACGTAAAGTATGTATCAGCCGTAATGTTTGCGGTTCGCGTCGTTGTTTGAACAGACTGACACGTCACCGCCCACGCCCTGGGTTATGTCCTCCAGTTAATTTATTAATTAATAATATCGGTTGCGAATTTCTTCTTTGTAATTTTACGAGTTTACGTCGAAACAGAAGGTATGATGATTCGTAACTTGTAAAAGTCTATGTTAAATTGATATTTCATTTTTCTACCGTACAAAAATACGTTTGCCTTAGCTTGTAAAATAACGGCAACAATATCAATTTAATTGCACGTCACGTCACCGTCGTGGATTTTCATATTTCTACATTCAGAAGTCTCTCGTTCTATTACTCTTCATCAAGGTTGATTGTTCAAACCCGCCAATAAAGATCAAAGATTCCACGGAAAGTTCTGAATGTTCCATCGACTTGAGCTGGAGGCCTTTGGAGGAGCGAACTGCGCCAACCTTCCGGCGACAGAGACGCGAGAGAGAGAGGCATTAGTTCACGCACGGGGAAGCCGTTCGTCGCAATTCCGTGGTTCCCACGTCGTTGAAACACCGGCGTCGCGACGCACCCGCAGGAATCCGCGTCGACGTCGAAGCCTGCTGCCGGAAGCAGCCGCGGCCCTCCGAGGATGTTTGCACGCATCCTAGCTTCGGAATTCATACTTGACATCAAAGCAACGTCTGCTCGATGCATTATGTTAACGCACACGCGTACACACGTATGCGGTGACGAGCGGGACGACACGAACAGTTTACGTTGTCGTGCGTGCTCCAATCGGCGCGAACGGACCGACGCTGCGCCGCGCTGTTTCGTCTGTTCGCTGCCTTGAGTACCAGCCGTAATTACTCGGCGTCGCGCGTCGTCGGTTTGCAACGCTTGATTACGCCTCGACGAATCGTCTTTCGTTAGGTTTACTCCGGGATTCCTTGAAAAAGCTTTGTTTTTGGAAACATTCTGACCAACTTGCGAATTTTTCGGCGTATTATATACAAATTTTTATTATTATAAATATTTTTATTTTATTATACATTATTATTATTATTATACAAATATATTGTATTATTATATATATTACATGTCATTTTATTATACATACCTCTTAGTTAGTTTAAATATAGTCTTTCTTTTATATCACAGCGAAAGTATAATGACAATTTTGTACGAAGCAAATATGTTTGCCAGTCGTAATTTCTTAAAACCTTTGAGACTCAGATTCTAGTAAATTCTTTTGTAATGTTTCTGTCAGATTACATTTATCTGAAAGATATATCATTACTTTTCCACTACAACCGATCTAATAGATAAAAATTGTTTCGAAACTTGTGATCGAATAGTGCGATCAGATGTAAATTACGTTATTAGTCACGTCCGTTTTAAATCTCGTGCTGCAGTTTTCTATTTCGTTATCAGTCCAACGCAGTCTCGTATTGACTTATGTTTATCTGATAAGATAAAAAGAAACAGAAAAGTGACGTGTTGGTTTATGTAGTTATGTAGTAACGTTTATCGAATCCAACCAAGCCAAGTGATTCCGTTACGTTGGAATTCGAGAAATTAAAGAGCTGATAATACGCAGAATCTTTGCAATACGTGATCATTGTAATCTCCTTTTATCGACGACCATGTAATTAATTACGTTCAAGCAGGCAATTATCTCTCGCGACGTATAATATTTCGAACTTTTTGATTGTTGCGCAACGAAAAATTGAATCACTCCGTTTGTATTTAAATTGAAAATTCGAGAGGAATTTCTCGAAAACAAAAAAAAAAAAAAAAAAAAAAAAGAAAAACACTGGGACTGAACGTACGGTGTATATGAGCGAAATTTTATTAAATCTCTTCAAAAATTGATGAGCTGCGACTCTCGATTGTTGCCGTCGACACTCCGCGCCGTATTAATTTCCCTGCTGAAAATAATCACGGAAATAACGATATTCCGTCGACGTCGTTTTAATGAAATGTCACGGATCGAATATACGGTAGCTCGATACGGAAAATGGAATAATGCGCGTAACGTACGAAGTTGCTACCGTACAGGCCGCTGTAAACGAACCGGCAGATTAAAATGGAATTGCCGGAAAGAAATTTGCCATCGCGATCCTGCGATGGTGAAATTTGTCATTATCAATCAAACTGGTCATTTGTACCAACAGAATATCGTTCTTTCGCGTCAAATTAACCATCCAAAGAGCACGTTGGAATCACGCACGTGCGTGCAATTCTTCCTTAACTTTTTCGCTACAGCAGATACTTTAATACTTACGGCACGAACGACGAAAATTTTTCGCAGAAAGTATATTGAAATAATCAAAACAATGAATTGCGCACTGCATTAAACAAAAATATTATTTATTTATTCGCGTTCTGTTTTGAATTGTCAATGCACGTGCTAAAAATTGAACAGTAACTTTAACTTTTATCTCATATAACATATCTAATAATCTGGTAAAGTGTGATACAATTCGAAACATGGGTCAGTACACAATATTCTGCATCACACTTCTTTTTCCTTCACTCGTTTGCATTTTTGTATTTCAAATTTTTGTATTGTTTACGTACGCAGACTGAAAAAAATGCCCTTGAAAAATGCCTAAAAAAAGGCTCATTATCGGTATTTTTACCTTTCGATTTACACGCACATGTTCTATTTGAGCTGTATGTTTGTAAAATTTATTTTATTAAATATAAATTTAAGCGCCTTCAGTACGGTTCAAGTAACGTGAAGTGAGCGCCTATACATAGGCGTCCCTCCTTTCAGCGGACCGTAGTAAGTTAAGCGTCTATGGGTGCCAACGGTGCCGCGAAAGTAAATTTTAAAAGCGCCTTTAGGCGCTGACAGTAGCCAAAGGGTTAAACGCGCGTACTTCAAGAGTGACACAACTTGTGTGTCGTTAGAAATCAAGGCGAGCGACGTGGAACTGCGAAAGCCTTGCACGCGTGAAAAATTATTTCAAGTTCCTGCAACAGTAGTGCATAGGCAGTCGACTCGCAAATTGACTGAGTCCTGACCCTGTTGGTAAAATACGGTTGTCCGGATGAAGGTGTGCAGGGTTTCTCTATCTCTTTCCCACCTTCGAGCGTCAACTTCCTTTCTTTTTCTTTCCTCTATGCTTCATTCTGTCCTCCGTTATTCCATATGGCAGGTCGTCTCGTTTGAACGGCAACCTTCTTGCCTGATTCACGGCAGTCGAGGCAGCTGGGCGCGAAATGCGATAAACTGTCGCGAATCCCCCGCGAGTGACGACGTCGAAAAATATTTACTCCTCGAATGCCCGTCGGGCGTTCCTCTTTCCTAAGCTTTTACCAACCCCCTCGGTTCTCCGTCACTATCCCGCGTCTCCCGCGTCCTCGCCAGCCTCGTTTCAGGGCTTCTTCAGCACTTGCCGAGGCCTCTTCCAGCACGCTTCGGCAAGAGCTCGTTTATCCGCGGGCCAACGGTATTTACATAAATCAGCCATGCAATCCCTTTTTATATTTCGCGAAAACACGTCCCGAATATACGTATGCGACACAGCATGTGAGTGAATGTACGCGCGCCCCTCTCACCCTTGTCCTCCAGGCCGAAAAACATCTGAAACACACTGTGCTATGTACGCGTCCACGGTGTTTCCGGGACGGGGCAACTTTTTTTCTCGTCGTTCTTGCGAGATAAGCGGGTCACTGGGAAAAATGCTCTTCCTTTTGCGTCTGGCCACGTACCTCCTCCCTTTCCGCGCTCTCTTTCACACACACTCTTCTTGCTCCACTCCTTGCTCGTCTCCTCTCTGTTTTCTTTTTGTTCTCCCGTCCTGTTTTCCTTCCCCCCCCCCGTCGCCCCGTTTCCGTTCATTCTTCTGCACGGTGGCGGTGGTGAAAAGTTTTGCACGCGCGCCACGGTGAATGAGAAATACGAGGCCCTCCGCGACCCACCGCTTCCCCGGGGCTTTCATATCCTCCCGCGTATCACGCTTCCCTGAAGCTTTATCTCCGCATAAAAGAACCAGCCGAACGAATTCGCCGTTCAATGAATTCGGTGTTACGACCACGCGTAATAAATAGTCGTTTCCGGCTTTCGTACTTGGCAACGTACGTCGTCCTCTCCCTTCGCTCTTCGTCGTTCGCGGAACTTTTCAACGCGAACATCCTTTTCTTCTCGTTCCTTCTTCGCGACACGTACACAGTGTGTTTAATAAGAACGTGGACGCTGCTTCTCTGAAAGAGAATATTTTTTTTCTTTTCCTTTGTCTTAAGAAATTTTGTACAGATTGATAGCGCATCCGATCTCCACTACACACGCTTTCCATCAAGTCTATCGAGACCATCGCTCTTAAGAAAGCATGTCGAAGAACATGTAGCACGAGCCTACGGAAATATCGATCGTTTCCGTTGGCGAATCCTCTTTTCTGCCATGGTATCCCTGTCTGTCCGCGGAAATCCAATTGTCCAGAGAACTGTCAAACATCCAATAAAAGTGCACGTTTGACGATTTTTGAGACTTTATACATCTTTATAGACAATCGAGAACGTTGAAACCAGTGTGAAACAGTCTTTAGCGGATCTTTAAGAATCGAAGCCACTGTTGCACGGAACGAAGGAAGGAAAACGGTATATCATCAAACATACTGTATTCCAGACGCTGATATGCTCGCGACGATCGTCTGTTCTTTCAGAGAGCAGTCGCGGGTCTCCGCGTCTCCGGCGAAATAAACAGATGTACGTACACACCGACGCGGAAATAGACGAGGGGATGAGACCGAGAGCCGCGGTACTTTCGGTTAATGAAATTGAGGTCGAGTGTAATAGGCTGAATTTCCAGTTGGCTTTGATGTCGACGTAACCAGACGCGTCCCGTCCCCAAGCCGGTCCACCGAACCGATGCTTGCTGAAATATTAATTAATCGACGAAAGACAAACGCAGCCATGGACGCACAGACGTCCGATTACTTTCGACCTTCCGGATATAATTAATTAAACGCGATCCGCGTGAACGCGGATTGTTTCCTTCCGCACACTTTTTCCCCACGCTCGCTGAAAATCGAGCACGTTGGCCCCTTCTGGCGATTAATTACTCCCTCTCTGCTGCTCCTGCGTCGCGCTGACAGTTTGTTTCCTATCCGGGAAGCAGGAAGACTTTGCCACTCGTTGTCGTCGATCAATTTTCGTCGCCGGCTGAGAAACTCGGATGAAACGACGGATCCTGCTCGTCGCGGATCCTCGGATCGTGATCGAGCGTCGATTGCCAGTGTGTTTTGCGTTTCGAGGGAGGCGCAGGTGCGAAAACGACGGAGGACGCGTCGAGCGAGTTCGACGTAATTGTAATTAATTTTATCGGGACTTGGAAGTTGCGTTGCGGGCTAGTTGGTACGCGACTTAAGGCAGGGACGGCGTGTGGATGCGATGGGTTATACTCTCGGCGTATATACTTTAATGGAGCTTAACGAAGTTTTAACGCGCGACGAAGGTTCAGCCTCGAACTCCTGCGAAAGATTCCGAACGTTTACCCAGTTTCAACTCGCAAATATTGATGCAGCCGGGACGCTGCGTGAGTTTAACGAGTCCAAGTTCTTCGGCGGCAGTTCTAAGCCGCTCTAATCTTACCGTCGATCGTAATTTCCAAGGTGAATTAATTCACCGTTCTCTGTACGCGAGCGTTATTGAAGGGCTTCCGATGCAGTTTGCGGTGGGCAACGGTTCGAGAGTTCAACGCCGGCTCT